TTTTGTTTGTGGGTGGTTAGCGGGTGCTCTGGTGTGGTCTGCTCCTTCTTTCTTATCAAACATCTAGCGTCATTATCACTTCTCCTCCTTTTTTGTGTTTGTCACTCTCTGATCTTCGGCACTTATATGACCTTATTGTGTTGCAAGTGCAGTAAAACTGTTGCTAAAATTGAAATAAAAAATCTTTTTTTGTGTCGCATCTGTCCCATTTTGACATCACTCGTCGAATAGATCTTGACATGCCAGGACAAAGGGTTAGGGCAATGTTTTCGACAACCACAGTAGTTTTTGACATTGCCATTTCTTGTGAACTTGAACCAAATCATGTGGGTGGTTGGAGGGCGCCACTGGTAGGTCCTACGTTTTCATTTTCCCCTCTGTTGTTTCTGTCTGCCTGTCTTATTTTTTCACATCAATAAATGGCCATTATTGAGTGGATGTGCTTCTCTTTACTCAAACAAACAAACAAAAACCAAATCATTATAAAAGCTGGCAAAAGATTTCGCATGTTAACTGTGTTGACTCGATTTTTTATCTTGCTTTTTTATCTTGCTTTTTTTATCTTGCTTTTTTAAAACTTGCTTTTTTCGCCCCTGCGTAGTGCTGTTTCTGCTCCAACACCCCGTTCAAAGGCCTATTTCTTGCCCTAAGCAAACTAACTGTAATGCTGTTCTTTCTTTTTTCACACTTGACCCTCTTCTGGGATTCCTTGCGTGTCAATGACTTATAAGTATAGTGCTTTGTTGTATTTTTTAAAACAGAAACATATAAACAAACACATTAAGTAACCTATACCGCAAAATGCGATTTGAAAAGCTGTACCCCTGTGATAGTTAATCCTTTCCTAATTTCCTTAGTGTCTTTGACTAATATTGTTTTGTTGTATCTTTTCAACGAAAAAAACACATATTTATAACTTACACCGCAAAACACAATCTGAAAAGCTGTATGCCAGTGATATTCAACAAAGTTAAATATTCTTCTACCATCAAATACTGCATTTCAAACTCCGCTCCTACCTTACACTTCATACTGGTGAAAGAAATCGCTCAAATTTTCTAGTTTAGTTATTGTAAATGAACAATGCCTTGCTACTGAGCTGTAGTATCAGATAATTTTAACTAAACATTTAGGCCATTTTCTGTTTGTACCGAATTTGTGAATTTCTGACGTTGAATAATAATTATGGAGTACTTTGATTCCACTCTTTGTTTAGTAAAGACATTCTCGGCATGTCCAGTAGAGTCCTTCGATCACGTCGACTGAACCTATCCATTTCCGCTGGGAGAAGAAACTAAGAGCGGGCTCAATTCACGTATTCACGTATTCAACTATTCGAAATATCCGAATATTTTAAGACTCACTTTCGACGATTTTGAATCCAAATTCGAAATGAAATTTTAATGATCCCAACTGTCAACCATATTATTTTATATAGAAGGAAGCATTCACTGACTCCCGATATAGCTGGTTTATCGGAATCGATTCGTTTCATCTCCGTTGATTCAAATATTGGACCTTACTTTAAAGTTGAGCAAGGTGCTGATATAAAAAAAACCACAACCCCCCCCCCCCCCTCCCCAACAAAACCCCCGTGGGTATTTTCGCAGATGCTGGGGTGTGATTTGCTCCTTCTGTCCTACCAAAGTTTTATCGTCCTTATCAGACTCTATCCTCTTTCTTTTCGTTGTATGTTACTCTCTAATAACACTTGCTGCAATCTTCAGCACTTGTTTAATCTTTTTCCTGTTGCAAGTACCGTAAAACTCGCAAAGATTAACTCCAAGCAGGTGGTTGGAGGATGCCACTTGTATGTCCTATTTCTTGGTTCTTTACTTTCCCTTTGTTGTTTCTGTCAGCCCATTTTTCTTTTTCCCAGTACTAAATGACCATTATTGTGTCGACGTGCTTCTCTTTACTCAAGCAAACAAATTAAAACTAAACGAAAAAACAAAACAAAACAACAACCAAAAACAGAAAAAAACAAAAAGCAAAACAATAACAACAACACAACAACAACAACAACAACAACAACAACAACAACAACAACAACAACAACAACAACAACAACAACAACAACAGGCTTAAACAGAGGTGCTGTTAGTAAGTGCAAAATCTACACTTTGATTTATTCACTTATATTCTTCATAAGATAATTCACACAAGTAGGCTTATTCTTATACTATAATGAAAACATCATGTTCCAAAAAAGAAAACGTTTTCAAAAGCCCAGTAAATTACTCCTGACAAAGGTGATTCGTGTTGAGATTCGAACCTTATGGACTATTCGACTATTTCGAAAAAGGGGTTCATGAATTGGCCGAATTCCGAACTGCTCGCTCTGAGCACAACACGCTCAAACTGCGTCAATCAATATTCCGAAGGAAAATCGCCTGCAGTAGTCTCTCTTTGTGTTATCGATCGCGCTCGTCTATTTTCAACCTTAAAGTGTGAGCAGCAACACGCTAGAAAAGTTGTATCATTCACTCTGGTGATAGCTCATAGTAGTCCCTTACCGTATGATGTGGCAACAGCTGGCAAATAGCAGTTAATGGCGGGAACATTATACAATACATCTTTATGGTACCCACCACATCTCATTTTGTGGCAACGCGTCAATGACATCCATTTATTCATTCATGACACACCAAAGTGGCCAGTTAGATCTAGACTTAGATCTATATAATTGTCTTATTTTTTCCCTCTGTTCAGTACATGAGCGTGACAGTTTACCTGGTGAGTAAAAGCCGAATTCTTACATCTTTTAGTAATGTATTTCAAGGAAGAATGATGACAATAAGAAGGTTCTTTTTCTGATTCTCTGAGATAACGTACACACACACACACACTCTCTCTCTCTCTCTCTCTCTCTCTCTCTCTCTCTCTCTCTCTCCCTCCCCCCTCTCTCTCTCTCTCTCTCTCTCTCCCCCTCCCTTCCCACCCTCTCTCTTTTTCTCTCTCTCTCTCCCCCTCTCCCCTCTCCCACCTCTCTCTCTCCATCTCTCTCTCACTCTCTCTCTCCATCTCTCTCTCTCTCTCTCTCTCTCTCTCTCTCTCTCTCTCTCTCTCTTCATCTTCCCTTTATTCAATATTTTTTTCATATTCTCGTAAGTGACTTCAACTGAGGATACGTCATGAAACATTTTCACTTTTGAAGCTTGTCCTACCGGCCTCTGTCGTGTGGTGTTGTTTCCTCCCAGACATGGTCGGCCTAAAAGGTTGGGTCGAAGCTTGACTCCTAAATGAGCTAAACTGTGTCGGTAGAGGCGTGAAACACCTTCATTGAGAACAAAATGAATTGTACAATTAAACATTCTGATCATGACCTCAGCAAATAAGACAAATAGCTAGTATAGTAGCCTATAATAGTACTGCAATAATATAATGATATACAGTTCCTGGAATTGTTTCTAACACGTAACCCTTAATGACTGTATATTATTATGCTATATTTGGCGCTTTGAAAAAAGATATTGATATCTGAAAATAGTTCACGTTAATGGCCCATAATTCAGTGGGTGGTTTAAAAAAATATTTGAAATTTGAAACAATATCAGACTAGAACTTGCCGCCTAGAAATAGACCCACGATAAACCTGTCTAATCGATGTGCAGAAAAGAGGAAAAACATGGAATAACATCAAGAGGCTAGCCAAGGATAAGGAAAGGTGGAAAGTGTTTGTTCGTACCCTATACCCTGGCCCAAGGTGAGAGAGGTACAATGTAAAGATGATGATGAAACCTGTCTAAAATACGAAGAGCCAAGTCTGTCAATCCGAGGTACTTCCCCGTACCATTTCAAATGTAGGCCCATTTAATTCTTTATCTCAGTAATCAACGTCAGCGTCTAGAGGATTAAGTAAAGTGATGAATCAGCATATTCAGAGAACCAATACATTCTACGGCAATGGGAAAAATCCTCAAATAAGCCGCATCGTTGATTAAGCCGCATGGTTTAAATCTGAGGGGAAAAAATCGCTGCTTACTTATTATAGATAGAGAAGTTCACTGAACCTCAGCTTGCTTACCATCTGGGAATTCTTGGCTGCTGCTACCCCAATTGCGTGATTGACAGCGGTATGCGATTAATAATCGCTGTAGAGGGAACTGAGCCAAAGAATCGGTATTCGTTGGGAATGAATACTTGAAGTTGGTTTAATGTCCTGTTATTCATCATTTTTACCAACGCCACTGATTCACAACTTTTAAAAACATCTTTTAAAATATTCTTGTGTGGCACGAAAAGTCTCACTCGGGCTTTGCATTCATTTAATATAGGCCTACATGTAGATTCTATGCCACGTCAATCTCTTTTAAAATGTCAAGCTTACGTGTGATTAAGACAGAGAGAGAACGACCAGATTATAGAAAGAGTGAACCAGATTATAAAAAGGTTGCAGCTGTGAATGTTTAAAGCCCCTTTCAACACAGGTTATGTAACATCCGAATGTTTCGTCCCTCACCCGTAGATTCCCGACCGCCCACCAAAATTACCAAACCGACCACAGGTGGGTGTGGCGTCGTTTGTTTAGTTGCTGGGCTACTGGACAGTAATGGTGAGTTTGCGTGTTCAGAGTCTCGAGCCTCAGCTCGGTTCGACGTTGTGTCCTTGGAAAAGGCTTTTTGCACGAATTTTCCATTTGGCTCTGTCCTTTCGGAGCTAGACGTTGAACTCAGAGGCCCCGCCGCCTCTTAAATAACCTAATATTGTTAATAGATGCGTTTAACTTATACCATTTCACGTTTCACATTTCTCTTTTCACCAGTGGGAAGCACTGATTTATCCCGAGCTTATTTCGCAGACTCTTCTTTATTCCACGTACTCTTTTATCTTATCCCACAGACACGTGTGTCTTATCCTACAAACTCTGTTGTTTTATCCCATCGACTCTTTTATCTTATTCCACGGACTCATTTATCTTATCCCTCAGAATCGTTTGTCTTATCCCACAGACTATTGTGTTATCCCCCACACACTGTTGTCTTATACCCCGCCCCCAACCCCTCATGTGGAAAAGGGAGGGAAGGAAGAAGGGAGGATGGAGGAATGATGAATACTGTCTTGTCAGCAAAGCATACTTTAAGCTTAACGCCATTCTTATCCAAATGGGCACCATCGAACGACGAATATGTTGTTCAATTTTCTTTAAATCCATCAAATGAATAAATCATAGGTAACCTAAATCTCCTCAAAGTAATCATCATTGCACTCGATACCGTCTGAAATATAGGTCTACTGGAACGAAGTTTACGCCTTACGTCAACATTATTCCAACTGCATCTAAAAAGCAGTGGACGTGCATTGCTAGAAAAGGTTAAATCAGCTACATTAAGTTTATTATTTAATTGCTTGTTCTTCCCTTGCTCAAACAATGTGGCTGCATTCAATAGCATGTTGAGGTTTAGGCCGTACATCGACGTAAAAACAAGTAAAATTTGTTTTTAAAAATAGTATAACTTTTTTAGGCATCGCTGTCAGGAAGTTATGTTGCGTTAATCGCTTGGAATCATACGGGGATGACAGCTTCCTGCATCGAGATAAAGTATCCGTTCTCTACCAAGCACTCTTACGTCTAGTTATTCAAGTATCGATTACAAAAAGTTGTGTTATTTGAACAAAGCGGCGACTTCGTTGTTTGAAGGGCCCTAAGTCATAGGACCACAAGTTAAGTGGAAAAGGGCGTTGCGAGGCTCAAGATGTATTGGGGCTACCCGCTTCTCGCGAGGTCCGTATCGTAAACGTATTCAAGGTATGCACTGGATTACTTTGTGAACTTACTTTTTATATTTTTTCATCCTCTGTTGTCTTTGGACGTGGAGGGGAGATGAAATTTTAATTGTAAGGCCGACTCTGCAGTTTTTTCAATTGAGAAGATGTAGTTTCTAGGAGTTCCCTTGACGCCCTCAATTCTTTTTTTGTGTGGCCTACCTCTTCCTTTGTAGCCCCGAGTTCCTGGTGCTGTAGGCTCTTGAGGTTGGCTGACTTGGTGGCGTTCGTAACTGCTGGCCAAATCATATTTTCTTTTGTGTTTTTCTATGAGATACAGGCAGGACTTCGAGCTAACCGTAAGTTGCTCTTTCATCTTCATTTCTCTGCTTGTCTCCTTTGTGAAGGTCAGGGTTTTGTGTTTTTCTCTGAGATTCAGGCAGGATTTCAAGCTGACAACTGCTCTTTCACCATAGTTTCTCTTGCTGTCTCCTTTGAGATTTTTAGGGTTTTGTGAATACGTTTCTTTTGACATGAAGTAACTTTTCTTTCATGAGTTTGACTAAACATCCAGGTCTATCATGAATAGCATAGTGTTGGTATAAACATTGAAGTGATAAGCTGTCTCTTTGTGTTTGTGGAGAAGTTTTGAGGAGAACGAAGGGGTGTGCGCTGATAAGTGACGGTGTTGGCTTTTTGAGTTCGCGTTTCCTGTTCTCCATTTATGGACCGGTTTTCAGGACAAAACGCTGCTTTAAAAAAAAATTAAACTGAAAGAGAGAGAGAGAGAGAGAGAGAGAGAGAGAGAGAGAGAGAGAGAGAGAGAGAGAGAGAGAGGAAAAGGGGGGGGGGTGTTATTTGAATTACTGATTCCTGTCGTTTTCTCTCTGCGTCGGTTCACAAGCTGACCCAGTGCAATACAGTCGTTATTGTAAACATTTTGGCCAGTTCCATCTTCATACATGACATGTATTATGATAATGTCAATTTGGTCAAATCATTGCAGTCAGAGTCAAACTTTCACGTTAGAAATGTAACCAGTAACAATTTGACAAGACTATTAGATCTAGAGATCTATGAGCGTTTCCTAAAAGTTCGTCTTTCTGAGGTACTCTTCTCTTTGTAGATGTATTCAGGGAGAAAGAGAATGGAAATCCAATCATATTTTGTGTTAATAGATCCAGTGGATGCTACTGATAAACTGGGAGAAAAGTTAGGTAGATCGGTTTTTTTTTTTAATATAAAGAAAAGGGCACATGTATGACATGGTCTGTAATATAATTTAGATAACGCGAAACCCCACCAAACCTTATTCAGGTCACACATAATAGCCAAAATAACCAAACTCGTGCAAAGCATGCAGAAATCCCCTACTCGGACACTTGTCCGTTTAAGTATATTCGGACACGTGAGTCCTTCTAACCAAGCATGAATGCGAGTACCGTACATTGTGGGTCTTTCTCTTTTTGAGAATGAAGTGCTTCTTTTTCTTTTTGGGCAAATGCATATTTGCAGTTTGCATAAATTTTCATTTTTTTCTATTTATAGAATGATGAAAACCAATCGTGATTGTTTCGTTTCTTGGCGTAAATCAACATGTAATACACGTTTGTTAAAGTTAAAGAGGGGAAATTGTTCTTAAGAAGGGTCGTGTCCGTGTCAAAATAGACACTGTGTTTCAAGTTTTTGCTGTAAGAAAAAGAAAGTGTGTCACGACGCGATAGAATCAGGTGCTCGTCAGTTTTTGGGTACGTGGAGTTATTGGCATCACCTTAACGCTTGTTCATTTAGTCTTGTTTTCGATGGAAAAAATACTCATCTACTATGAACAGAAGCCGAGGTATTTGCATTTGAATGAGATTAGTTCGCCCCGTTTAAGGGGTTAAAAAAGCGAGAAAATGGCAGCCAAAAGTTACTGACTTTCAAAACTTGAGTTTCCTTTGACACTGCAAATTTTCATTTGTTTTGCCTTTAATCATCGGTTTTCAGTAAAACCCACACCGAAATGTATTTCTAAATGTACATAAAGTGCCTTGAGCAATTTAAAAAATAAATAAATAAATACTATAATTGCCAAACGAGGGGGGGGGGGGGGAATGCTAATTTTTTTTCGATTTCATTATTTTGATGGGGGCCTAAATTTCACCAGAAATTGTTAGCTCAGTTGGCATCACACTGGGCTGTGGTGTATATGACTCTTGTTAGAGTCGGGTTTCTTTAACTTCGGTTGTTTTCGGAGATCTCAAGTCTCCTCACCTTCTTAGCTATGCATATTTGGAAATGAACGTATAAGTCGACGATCCCGCCTATTACATATACATTCATGAACAGCGTTGAATGGGTCGCTATAACCATAGCGTTCTGAGTTCCAGTATCAGACAAGAGAAAAGGGGGACGGGGACGGGAGAGGCAGGGTTCCAGATATTTCTTGTCGTTCTTTTAAATTATGTGTTACACTCGGGGAGGAGCGACATAGCTTATTTCTAGTCCACTTAGATCTAGATGTTTCACAAGAGAAAATTGAATGGTGACGTAAAAAACCCACACCAACCCCCCCCCCCCCCCCAAAAATAAATAAATAAATAAATAAAAAATATCCACAACAAAACGAAACAAAAACAGAAAAACAACCCCCCGCCCCCTCCCAAAAAAATTAAAAAATCAACAGGATGCGAATGACTGTCTCTCTATTCTTCCAGGTCGTCCCCATAGTCTTCCAGTCCAGTTTCTGACCAATCGGAGAGCGTCTTTGAGCTGTGTGCGGAGCAGCAGACCAGCCAACATGACCCAGAAGCTTGTGGCATGTGTGTCCGCTTTCAGCGACGGGAACCGCGGCATCGGATACAAGGGCGATCTTCCCTGGCCCAAGTTGCAGTAGGTTTTCTTTCGCATACACGTACATAGCGAAAGTAGGTTTATTTTGGCTTACACGCACATGGCAAAAGTAGGGGTTTTTGTTGTTGCTTACAAGCACATAAAGCAAGTAGGTTTATATTAGCTTACAAGCACATAAAGAAAGTAGGTTATTTTGGCATACACGCATATTATAGCGAAAGTTGGTTTATTTTGGCTTACACGCACATGGCAAAAGTAGGGTTTTTTGTTGTTGCTTACAAGCACATAAAGCAAGTAGGTTTATATTAGCTTACAAGCACATAAAGAAAGTAGGTTATTTTGGCATACACGCATATTATAGCGAAAGTTGGTTTATTTTGGCATACACGCATATTATAGCGAAAGTTGGTTTATTTTGGCATACACGCATATTATAGCGAAAGTTGGTTTATTTTGGCATACACGCATATTATAGCGAAAGTTGGTTTATTTTGGCATACACGCATATTATAGCGAAAGTTGGTTATTTTGGCCAACGCGCACAAAAAGAAAGTATGTTTATTTTAGCGTACACGCACACAGCGAAAGTTTTTTTTTCGGCTTGCACGCACATAAAGTAAGAAAGTAGGTTTAATTTGGCATACATGCATACAGCAAAAGTAAGTCTATTGTGGCTTACACTAATAATGCGGTTTTTTTTTGGCACACACATACACAAAGAAAGTAGATTTATTTTGGCTTACACGCACAAAAAGAAACAGGTTTATTTTTGGTATACACGCACATCTAAAGTGGAAATATCATGGCATACACGCATATAATATAGCGAAAGTAGGTTCATTTTGGCATAAACGCATATAGCGAAAGTAGGTCTCTTTTTGGTATACACGTAAAGAGCGAAAGTATGTTTATTTTGGCATACACGCAAAAGTGGGTTTTCTTCCCCCCACGCACTCTTGGCGAAGGAAGGTCCCGATTTGTAAAAAAAATTTAATACATGTTAACGTATTAATATGCATTTACGTGTCCATAACCTTATAATATACACGTATTATTCGATAAAGAGATTTTGGATCAAGGTGTTTTACGCCACATTGACATAATCTCGATCATTTAGGATGCAGGCATCGACCCTGCCTATCAGGGCCAACCCAGGCTGAGAAGGATACAACGTCCCAGCAAAAGGACCGAAATGCTCAATAAAGATGAGAAGTGGGACTTCTGAGTGTATCAAGTACCCAAATGTTGCTGTATTTGACATTGAACTATTTTTTCCATTGTTGGCCTGTGTCTGTGTAAATTGCACTGCTCTTCTATTAAAGCCCCCTTAATTAACCATTTTAATTTATTGTGTCAGACACAGACTAGACTTACCAGCAGAGCCAAGTTACTCTATTGTCCTAGTACTAGTATGCGAACTGTTGATCTAGAACAGTGCTTCTCAACCATTTTATAGTCAACGTCAACTTCAAGAGGATACATTACTCGTAACTCCCACCAATTTAATATAATTAATTATTATTGTATTTCCAAACCGACCATAAAATAACACAGATCGCTACGTGGATGATCCCCAGCGCCCGATAAAATGACCAAGTCGCCCACTTGTGGATGATATCGCCTAGGTTGGCAAGCACTAATCTATTGTCTGTGTGCATTGTTACATATATGCGTATCATAATTGTAACATTAATTCAGTATATTTTTCTCTTGGGTGGTTGGCGGGTGCTCTGGTGTGGTTTGTTCCTTCTTTCTTATCAAGTATCTACCGCCCTTTTCTCTCGTTTTTTTCTGCGTATTTTTTCTGTCGTGTGACGTCTTTAATCTTCGGTACTTATATAACTTAATTGTGTTGCAAGTGCAGTAAAACTTGTACTAAAACTGAAAACAAACGCCTGTAATAAAGTACAATGTGTCATAATATTATAAATGTTACATCAGCTTTGTATCTATTTTTTTTCTATAGGGGAGATGAAGAATACTACAGGGGGATTTGCAAGAGGACAGTGGACCCGAGTAAGTCACTGGACCTGAATATGTCACAGAGCGGTTGTTGTTATCGTTGTTGCGTTGTTGTTGCTGTTATTGTTGCTGTTATTGTCGCTGTTTTTGTTGCTGCTGCTATTGTTTTCTCGTAGTTTTGATTTGTCTTTCGATTTTTGTGTTTCCTCATCTGCCTCTTGTTGTGTATCTGTGTATCGGACTAGATGCATGTGTCTGCCTATAACTAATTGTCATCTTGTCTGAAGGGTACATTCGGCAGGTGTAGGGCGCCCCTAGTAATTGGTCTTACATCTTCTCCTCCCCCTTTTTCCTGCCTGTCTAGCCTATGGAGGAAGAGGAGGGCAGGGGGGGGGGAGGAGATGAGGAGGAGCAGAAGGAGGAGGAGGGGAAGGAGGAAGAAGAGAGCAGGGAGAGGAGGAGAAGATGGAGGTGGAGGAGGAAGAAGTCGAAGTTGAGAAGAAAGAGGGGTGGAGAACAAGAAGGACAGCAAGAAGGGAGAAGTGGAGGAGGAGGTTATTATTAATACTATTATTATTGTTACTATCATTATTATTATTGCTATTGTTTTTGTTATTGTTATTGTTATTGTTGTTGTTATTATTATTATTATTATTATTATATTTATTATTATTACTAATTTCTCTCCTTGCAGACGCCTGGACTCGGCCACAGACGACACTGCCATCAGTTACGATGACCTGGCTAAACCTGGGCTGACCGCTATGGAGGTCCAGCCGGACATGCGCACACTCGAGCCCAGAGGCGACCCCAGGGCCTTCATGTGAGTACACATACCCTAATTAGAAGCTACTTCAGAATTCGGCAATGTTTAATCTTCTCAATACCTAGTTTTGGATAAATTTGACGTGAAAACGTTTGAGTTTAACAATACCTAGATAACTGGATGTGCCATTTCTGACTCAGAGGTTGACGTGTAATGACCGACCCTCCATCCTTCACGATCGCGAGCGATCTGCCGTTGCACTTTTTGCCATATCCACGCCATTTTATGTTTTTGTGTTGTCCCTGCTAGTTACTCTTTATCTTCCCCTGGCTCTTCTGCCCAACATCCTTTTCGCAACCACATC